CACGCACTAGCGTGCAGGTTCCCAAAGGCCCTTGCGAACACCCCTCACAGGCCCCTGCCCCCGTCCCTGAGTCTCTCTCTCTCTCTCCCCTCAGGCCACAATCTCCTTCTACCAGATCATGTACACCCAGACGGCCCCCCTGCCGGTGCACTTCCAGACGCTGTGCGAGAGCAGCAAGCTGTACGACCCCGGGCAGCAGTACGCCTCCCACGTCAGGTAGGGATGGAGATTCCACCCCCTCCCTCGGGAACCCAGCCCCGCGCTTCCCCACCCGCCTCCGGAAATCGTTTTTTCCTAATCTCCAACCTAGACCTGCCCCACTGCAGCGTGAGCCCATCGCTCCTCGTTCTGCCCCCACTGAGAACAGCCTCTCTCCTTCCTCTCGGGAACCCCCCTCAGGGAGTCGCAGGCTGCTCTCGAATCCCCCCTCCCTGTTCGCTTCTGCAGACTCAACAAACCCAACTCCCTCGGCCTCTCCTCGTAGGTCGTGTGCTGCAGCCCCCTAATCATTCTGGTCGCCTCCGCTGGCCCCTCCCCAATGCGCCCACGTCCTTCGAGGAGGGGGGCCCGGAACTGGACACAACACTCCAGATGTGGCCTCCTCAGAGCCGAATAAAGGGGAATAATCACGTCTCTAGATTTCCTTCCGCATCTCCTGCGGGAACGGGCTAGAGTGGGAGGATCTGAGAGCTCCAAGCGCCGGCATGTCCCTGCTCCCCCCAGCGTCATGTCCCAGCCCCGCGCCAATGGTGCAGCGCAGGCTGCAAGGAAGGTGCCGACGGGGGAGCCAGGTTCTTCGCAATGCAGGACGCAGCGTGGCGCGGTTGGTCCCACCGTGGGTGACGGCAGTGGCGGGTGAGCCATGGCTGGACGTCCCCTTCAAACGACCCCTTCCTCGTGCCCATCAGGTCCCCCTTCACCCGGCCCCGGAAAGGCAGCTTCAACGCCAACGAGTTCAGTAGCTCCGACGGGGCCGCGCCCCCCAAAGACGGAGGCGGCTCCGAGGGAGGGGCAGCGGCGCGGGAGGCGCAAAGCGGGAACGTGGAGCGGAGAGGTGAGCTCCAGGAGGGCAGTCCCTGCGCGCCCCCTTGCCCTCTGCAATACTCAGCCCCGGTCCTAACCTGCCCCCGCGCAGGAGACTGGGCACCAGCCCCTGGGTCTGCAGCCGGTGGGCCCCACCGTGTCCATGTTACACGGTGTTGCTCACGCGCACCCAGCAAGCGGCCGTTGATGTGTCAACTGATTCTTTCAGCAGGCGGGAGGGGGCACCAGACCCATAAGTCTTGGCCGACATCCATGATCGAAACAGAGGGCAGCCTGGATCCCGCCTCAGGTAGAGTATCCTGGGCCCTGGGAAGCCGTGCAATGCTTCTTGCTCCCGTGCTAATCCCATCCCCATCTCCCATAGGGCCCCCTGGGAGCACAGCCTAAGAGCTAACATGGGAGCTGACTCAACGTTTCTAGTTTGAAATAATCCCATAGGCCACAGATTGCTGGTCCCAGGCTCCGACAGCAGGTGGCTCAGTAGAATGACAAAGGACAACTGGGCAGTCCCAGCTACACCCGTCCCTCCAAGTAGGGGTCAGACCGGGAGTGCTGGAAAGTTCCCAGCTGCTCTAGAGCCACCCTCCCCTCCTCGGTGCAGGACGCAGCAGAGAGACGTGCTCACCCATTGGTAAGAGAATCGGTGTCACCACTGATCTTCAGCTGCATGGTGGGTTGTTTTGGTAGGTACGTTTAGCCAGAAGTTCCAGCGGCTTTCCTCCAACGGCACGGTGTCCTCGAATGAAGAGCTAAGCGAGAAGGATGCCAATGCGGCCTCGTTTGAACAAAGTGAGTGATGGGGAGGGGTCCCCCCATGCGCCCGGCTCGGTACCCAGGCGCCTTGACAGCATTAAGCAGACAGGGACTGAGGACGAGGTTACGATGGTGTTTGCTTCGAGGGCACCAACATGGAGTCATCGGGCCCAATTCATCCCTGGGGGACGCCGCTGAATTCAGCAGTTACCTGGGAATGAATTGGTTCAGACGTTGGCACTGCCCTGCGCGGAACACTTCCAGCCCAAATACTGACCATGATGAAGAGTAGGGGCCAGGTTCTAATCTAAGGGACACAAGTAATTCTGGAATAACTCTGTGGAGAGACGTTAACGTAACCAACAGCAGATGGGGCGGACACTGGACCACTGAGAAACTGGCTTTTTACTAAGAAACTGTAAATCTTGATATTCCTCAAAAGACGAGATTAAGGGCTATATTTTATCACATGTTCCAAATGCATGGAACTCTCTCCACCCCGCCATTGCTTGGCACTTAAAGGCTTTAAAGGTGACTTAAAGAATTCCATGTGGAGGGGAAAAATCAACTATTACTGATTCTTGAGCCAATGAGGTCACTGAGGATGCATCTACACAGCAGGGCTTAACTCGCAATAAGCTACGCAAACTGAGCTACGTCAATTGTGAAGCTTATTTCAAATAGCTTATTTTGAAATTGGGAGCATCTACACAGCACTTATTTCGAAACAGAGCCCTCTTCTTCCGACTTCCCTTCCTCGTACGAGGGTTACAGGAATCGGAGTAAGAAGTCCTCCAGCTTGACAGTATTTCGATATTATTTCAAAATAACTGCCTGCTGTGTCAATGCGGACTAAGTTATTTTGAAATAAGGCCAGATTTTTTCTGAATAATGTTGCTGTGTAGACGTACCCTGAGATTTGCATATGCAATTTGATTGGTTAACTTAACAGTAGAACTGTACATACTGTTGACCTCGGAAGGAAACAACAGAAACACATTGACTGGTCACGTGATTCCTATCAGCCAATCGGTATGCTTAGATCTCCTGGTAACCATCGAAGGTACTTGGAATCATGGTATATTTGCTAGAGCCACGGTGACCTGCCAGTTCTGCAGCAGTAGCCACGATAGGGAACTAGCCACACTCAACCGGCCCAATAGCCACGTGGCTAGTGTGTTGGACACCATGGCGCTAGAGTCTTAGGGAAACTGGAAACGCTTGCTGCATTATCCATGTTGGGCCCCGGCGCTCTGCTTTCAGCACCGTGGGCTGGGCTGCTGCACCACTTCTAGGCTCCCTAACCCGCAGTCCCTTGGGGTGAGGAGCTCTGGCTCTTGCTTAGGCGCGTCACACACAGAAGTAGGAAAGGGAAGAAAGTTTCCCAAAACATTTCAGCTCCAAACAAACAACCTGAGGGTTGATTTCAGCCTGGCAAAGGGAGGGGCTACTGGAGAACGCTTCCCAGGAACCCTGCCTGATGTGTGTTCATGTCTCCTCCTGGAGACTGTGGCCAACCTGCCCTGGAATTAGCCTGCAGGCTGTGCAGCTGGGCATTAAGCCGGGGGCAGCTAGACAACAGGCTGGTGCTGTTTCCTGCTCCTCTCCTGACCTAGGGGGAGAACACAAAGAGATGGCTGAGAGCTGCCCAGGTGGGGGGTGAAATCCCCAGGGAGGATCCTGGTCCCAGGCTCCTAATCTGCACCAGTTCTTCGGAGTCACATGACGTTTGCCTGGATTTATTCTGGGTTTGCTTGCAGGCATCAATGGGATAGCCCCAGAAATGACGGCTCAGACGGGCCCGTTCCGGAACGTGGGTTTATCCAAGGCCGCCCAGACCCATCGGCTGAGAAAGCTTCGCACCCCTTCGAAATGCCGGGAATGCAACAGCTACGTTTACTTCCAGGGAGCGGAGTGCGAGGAGGTAGGCAGAGTCGGGAAGCAGGCGCGGGGGGACGGAGGGGTAGAAGGAGAAGCCAGGACATGCACCCAGCTGAACTGGGATCCCACAGACCTCAGCTGGACCTGCACGCATCTTGGGTGACAGCACCTAACAGCTCACATCCCTCTGTTGCACCAGTCGCTGCTGCTGGGCTGTTTCTGCAGCTTCATGGAACGGTGGGAGCCAAGGGGCACCTACAACGTAAAGCCCATTACGCTGAGACACGGGTGGGTGCCAGGCCTCAGACGGGGTGTGAACACACCTTTCAATTAACATAACCGCCAGGAAGAGTCAATCAGCCACCATTGTCCCCCCCCCACAGACCAAAGGGGGCTGTGAACCCCACTGGGCGTCGAGCGAGCAGAGAGGTTTTGCTAAGCATTGTCTGTGTTCGGCCTGGGGGCAGGAGGGCAGGACACACAGACCACAGAGAGGGGCAGAGGCAAAAAGCAAGGAAGCCGAGGAGCACAAAGCGAGCAGGGGAAAAGCTAGGCAGTGCCTCTGAGTCCGGTGTGAGGCCCTGGGCTGGGAGCTAAGGATCTGTCCCTCTGTGCATGTTTCCACCTGCACTCGGAGGTGCAGGACTTTGACCCCCCCTTGCAAAAATGGAGCCCCAGGAAAACCTCTCCCTTCACATATTCCACAGGGCAGCCTTGAGCCCGGCTCCCCTCTGGGTTGGCTGGGGGAGCCCCTGCCTCCCTCCTCTCCCTTTGCCTTTGGAATAGCGGGTTTCCTTTACGCTTGGGGACACGCTCAGGCTACGGAAAGGCTTTGGGTCCATCTCCAGCCCATCCTGCTGCTGCTCCTCTCCACACCGCTGTGAAGCACTTCCCTGAGACTGGATGCATCTGCTTGGAGCGGAGACGCTGGTGTCTGCCAGGCAGGGGCTTCTAATCCGTCTGGCTGTCCGAGTTGAAGCTTTATTCACTGGAGGGTTGTTTCTCTCCCCCCACCACTCCTCTTCCTGTCTGTCCCAGTGCCATTTAGCCTGCCACAGAAAATGTCTGGAGACCTTGGCTATCCAATGTGGCCACAAGAAACTCCAAGGGAAGCTGCAGCTCTTTGGCCGGGATTTCTCCCAGATGTCCCAGAACAGCTCGGACGGCATTCCCTTCCTTATCAAGAAGTGCATCTGTGAGATTGAGAAGCGGGCTTTGAAAACCAAGGTGAGGCGCCCTCTCTCTGCCCTCCCGCCCGGTCACGCTGGGGTGTCTCAGGTGTCCTTGTGGTGCAGAAAACAAAGGGCGCTTTGCTCATGAGCTCCAGCTCCTGTCCCAGTGCAGTGCTGTGTCCTGCAGGGATGTCGTCAGGTTGCTTCTAGACAGGGCTAGTGAGCTGGGAGCCAGGAGCTCCCGAGTCATAGTTAGTATCAGAGCGAGATTATCTGTAACGGGTAAGACACCTCCTGGCTCGCCAACAGGGAAACAGGCATCAAACAGCAGCACCAGGGCTTAGAGCTGTTGTCTAACCAACTCTTAATGATTAAGAACAGCCAGCCTGGACCAGACCAACGCTCCACCTAGCTCAGGATCCTGCCTGCTGGCAGGGGCCAAAGCCAGGTGCTT